CTCCGCTAATCAACGCTTCAAGTCTTCAGTGTCTCTGCTTTCGTATGTAGTTGGTTTCGGGCCGTGACTTTTATTGCGCCCATCAATCCTCAATACTTAGCAGTTCTATCGACTATAAATGAAATTTCGATAGAAATACAGAGTTCTGATGGTTTAAAAGCAATTTTTTATTTTACACGAGAATACTACGATTCGAATGTAAAAAGAGTATCTTTCGTAGATTTCGAGAAAATTGCCTTGACAACTATTTTCTAGAATTTGAAAAACTGGTAAAACTAAATTTAATTTCTAAATTTGATCTTCATTTGCAGGCTTCGCCTCCCAAACACCCGTTATTAACAAGAGAATTTCAATTTATTAAAATTTAAAGATCAAAGGTTTTTAATGTATCCACTGATTTAGTTCCTGATTCTGTTTGGGATAGAACTTAAATCAGTCTTTTAGCTCTGTTACTCTTGCAACATGCAAGACTTTTTAAATTCCTATTTAATTTTCGGGTAGATTATTTGGTACTAAGTAGTGCTGCTAGTCAAAAATGTCTCACTTTTGTCATTATTTTAACAGCATGTTTTGAAAGTTTTAAATAACTTAGCAAAAATGTAAATATCGTAATCTACTATTTAAAAATCGTAAAACTGATATTTATAAATATTTTTATGAAATGTTTAGTATGCTAATATAAAATTACTTAATAAAGGATCATAACTTTAACGAAGTGTTTAAGCGCAGAGCATTTCAAAACACTATTAAGTAAAGATTATACATATATTGAAACAGAATAACAAGTAATTTACAGATAATTTTTATTTAATTATGCTCTTGCTAACTAAAGAAATCTTGAGATAAAATACAGNTTTCAAAACACTATTAAGTAAAGATTATACATATATTGAAGCAGAATAACAAGTAATTTACAGATAATTTTTATTTTATTATGCTCTTGCTAACTAAAGAAATCTTGAGATAAAATACAGTGATTTTTCTGGCTAATAAGAATAAGCAGACAATGCGAAGTTTTTAGAACATTGTGTAATAAAGAGCAACTTATGGGATTAAAAAATGAGTTGGGTTTCGTGAATTTTATGATCTGATTAATTCTTTGCTTAAAATTTATATCATTTGAAAAGCTTCTGTGAATTGAGATTTTCTGCAGTGTTTAAGGAAAGCTTTATTAACTTGTTAAGTGGCAAAATTTGTAAAATTCCTCTCCAATGATAAGTAATGGACGAGTTTGGTCAGCCACCTGGTTGCTAAACTGAATTGTCAAGCAAATTCCCTTTAACTGTTTCGTTTTTTTTTCTTCGTGTAATATTAAATGAATCTGAAGTTTAAAAACAATTTGATTGAAAAATATTTTAAGCAGCTTCATTTTTTCTTCCAATATGGAATGAAAGAGCAGCCTGACTATTGCTAACCGGATGCCAGATTTTCATAGCATGGAATGAACGAGCAACATTTTCCTGATTAACAGAAGTAACCAGAAATGAATTCTGGCTTTAAGGACATCGAAACAAGGTGTGTATGTTAGCTGTATTTTATTCTGTAAAATATTTGTCTTTTGTTAAGTTCTTTAGGCGCAAACTATTATTTTTGTCTGTCAATTTCTAAGCTCTATAAATTACTCTGCAAATAGCATATTTTCAGTGTTTTTCATAAAAGTAACCATTTAACGGATTTTCAAAAAATTACTTGTATGAGTCTTAAATTTTATGGCAAGCTTTATTTAATTTTTTATCTTAAAAAAAAAAAAAAACTTTTTTTAGAAATTTTTGCGTATTCTAAAATATATATTTTAAACTATGTAATAAAACTAAGTAGTTTTTGAATTTATTAAATTTAAGACACAAATCTATATTTGAAAGCGGAAGTCAGTTTTTTTCTTTGCTATTTACGGAAATCTGACTTAAGATTGTTTTAATGAAACTTAAATAAATCTGGCTACAGACAAGTTTTTACAGCTGTTTTGTGCACGCAAAGCCCTTCGCTATACCTTTTACTCTACCATCGTGTATATGAAACCACGATAGCCCAGATACAAATTCTTATTCTGTTCAAATTCTGTTTGACTATGCCTTCTGAATTTCGAGTTTCTGTTGGTAATTTTTTAAAGTATTATAATATATAATACAATATTAAATCTAGTTACGTCTCAAGCTTTAACTGTAAAACTTGTGTTAAATTTAAATATTTGTTTTTTCTGAGTACTATATCTTAGAGTGTAAAATAAATATTAATCATTGAACTTGAATTTCATGTCAGTTGAAAAAATTTTCTCACTAAAACATAAATTTAAATCAATTAACATTGACGGGTTAATTCCATAGCCATTTTAGCTTCATTTTAAGATTAGTTTGCAACGAAAGTTTTAAACTGTTATTCTGATACCACTTCAGTAATTTTTGAAGGAAATTTGTCAAAGTATCTACGCTCATTTTATCTCTAATTATGAAAGTGATGATTTGTTTTTGTTTTTTCAGAATTATTACCGTCCTCATTTCTATTGGAATGAACATCCATAGTTCACTGCATGATGATGAACGTCGAATGTAACAAATTGAAAAAGAACTCTATACAGGTCAAGAACTCTTTTTATATTATGTGGAATGTTCCTAATTTGAACACTTTACGCATTAATTGCCTACACATGTTAATCTTGACTTATGCAGAAATTTTAGATCGTTGATATTAGTTTCAATCTTACTTTTCTTATAATAATAAGCCTTAAGAATTCTTTTTTAACAAGATATAATTAAAAACATTTCAGTTAAATTTTGACCACAATATTCCTAAACTCTATAGAAAGTCAAAGAGCAAACAGATGTTCATAAATTTTAACTTTTTATTTTTAACCATTTTCCTTAATGTGTCAAATTACAAGATTCCAATAAATATTGGTAAAAGCAAATACTGTTAGATGCAAAAATATCATTTTATAATAAAAATATAGGGCATATAAAGAACATCTCTAAGTACGCTAATTTCCTCATCCAATAGCAAAATTTGTGAAGAACTTCTTTCCTTACCCAATTTTTAAACTCTGATTTAAGATGTTGTGAGACGTTTTATGAAGTCATCGAGAAGAATGTAAGATTTTAACTCTGCTCAGATATTTTGTCTTTCAAGTTATCCTTTGCTCTAGTATAATTGAAAACATCGGGCGATCACTCAGTCTTCGGAATTGCTTAATTAAGTGTTCATTTCGCCAAACTTATCCAAATTTAGATTGTTGACACAAAAATTAGACGCAATTAGCATTCTTATTGTGAAAGTAATAAAATTCAGTGCTTTCAAATAAAAACATTCATTGTAATTCTTTATTAGCGTTTTTTTTCTTGATTCAACTTTAAGTTAAAAAGGGTGTGATTCGGAAAACAATTAATTCAATTAATAATTAAATTTAAAATGTCAAGCAATTCTCAAAGTTTTTGCTGGAAATTTTGGTATTTTTACAGATGCACAAAACAGACTAAAAATGCTTTTGAAGTTATATTTAATAATTCAGAAGTATCTGATTTTGAATATCAGAAACTGGACTTATATTTACGTCGTTCGGTACCAAGTTTATAGAACGAATTTTTAATGAAACAATTTTAGGGCACTTATAAAACATTCAATTTGTCTGCTTTCACATTAAACCTTATTTTCAGTTAGGAAAAAAAATGGACTTGTCTTATGACTCTTTATTTTACTAAATTCTAAGAACCCTAGGGTGGAAGTGAGAGGGGGACTATATGAATGTAAAAACCTAAATAGGATTTTTACTTTTAAGCTTAATTATATAATTAAAAGTTTTTAATAGTCTACGTGCTCTAATTAAAATGAGTTGAGAAAACAAATTCGAAAATAAGTACTTCTAAGGAATTGCTCTTGCGTGATTTAGCTTAAATCTAAAGATTTTATAATATTGGTGTAATTGCAGTTGGAAAAATTCTAATACAATTTTTTTTTCCATAAAAATGCTTACTTGTCTCAAAACTTTTCAACGTAGTTCAAAACTAATATCAAAATTTTATTCTAGCAAGTAGCTAATATTGTAAAAGTAGTCCAGTCAAATTACTAATAGTAAATAAATTACATTAAAAGTCTATCACAAATTTGTGAGTTTTAATGATTCTTATTTGCTGCTGGAGTAGCCAGATAATGACTAACTGTTCAATAATCACGTAACATACCTTAACATTAACCATAACACTAATTCGCTGCTTCAGTAGTAAAATAAGAAGAGGGTACAAGACTAAACATCTTTTTGAATAAAAGTAAAATTATAATTGGGATTGGACTAAATAGAAACGGAGCTGAAAAATTCATAACTTAACCGGAAATTTTATTTTTTAAAAAAAATCAAATTTTTGAATTACTAAATTTTTAAGAATTTTTGTTTCAAAGGTCACAGCAAGTTCTTTAAAGTAAAAACTAACTTTCAAACACTGTAAAAAGGTCCTTTTAATGGCAATTATTATAAATTTACAGCTTACGAANGACTATATGAATGTAAAAACCTAAATAGGATTTTTACTTTTAAGCTTAATTATATAATTAAAAGTTTTTAATAGTCTACGTGCTCTGATTAAAATGAGTTGAGAAAACAAATTCAGAAATAAGTACTTCTGAAGAATTGTTCTTGCGCGATTTAGCTTAAATCTAAAGATTTTATAATGGTGTAATTGCAGTTGGAAAATTTTTAATAATTTTTTTCCCCATTAAAATGCTTACTTGTCTCAAGAATTTTCAACGTAGTTCAAAACTAATATCAAAATATTATTCTAGAAAGTGGCTAATATTGTAAAAGTAATAAGCTATTTAGTCCAGTCAAATTAATAGTAAATATAAGATAAATTACATTTAAAGTCTATCACAAATTTGAGTTTTAATGATTCTTATTTGCTGCTGGAGTAGCCAGATAATGACTAACTGTTCAATAATCACGTAACATACCTTAACATTAACCATAACACTAATTCGCTGCTTCAGTAGTAGAATAAGAATAGAGTAAAAGACTAAACATCTTTTTGAATAAAAGTAAAATTATAATTGGGATTGGACTGAATAGAAACTGAGCTGAAAAATTCATAACTTAACCGGAAATTTTATTTTTTAATAAAAATCAAAGTTTTGAATTACAAAATTTTTAAAGAATTTTTGTTTCAAAGGTCACAGCAAGTTCTTTAAAGTAAAAACTTTTAATGGCAATTATTATAAATTTACAGCTTACGAATTGCGCTTATTACATTTGTGAGAACTTTATAACTATAGCTTCATTCA